GAATAGCAATCTCCCTTCATATTCTCCAAATAAGCCCTAATGGGCAAGCTCAAGTGCTACATACACTGATCAAGTTCAAGCATTGCAAATAGCAACCTCCCTCCATCTTCACAATAATATCTCCCCACTCAGCAACACCACAAACAAAATGGTACTTTACATCAATGTGCTTTGTCCTCTCATGATACATTTGATCATTGGTCAGATGAATAGCACTCTGACTATCACAATAGATGATAGTCATCTTTGGACCCAAGCTAAGTTCACCAAACAAATCTCTCAACCAAGTAGCTTCTTTAATTGCTACAGTTACTGCCATATATTGAACCTTAGTAGTAGATAAAGCAGTTGTGGACTGTAAAGTGGCTTTCCAACTAATAGCACGACCACCAATAGAAAGCACATAACCTGTAAGTGATCTTCTCCTGTCAATCACCTCATAGTCTGAATTAATATAACCCATCAAATTGTCACTGCTCCTCCCAAACTCCAAGCAAATGTTTGATGTTCATTTCAAGTACCTGAGAATCCACTTTACTGCCTGCCAATGTCTTGTTAGGACAAGACATATATCTTCCCACAACACTAACTGCATATGAAATGTTAGGTCATGTGCAAACTATAACATACATAATACTACCAACTGCACTAGAATAAGGGACATGTGACATATATTTTAGTTCTCGATTTAGAGTGGGACATGATCAGGATAGACATGGTTTCATGAATTTTTAGAGAAAATTCTCAGATGGGTATAGCGTTATGCTATTATTTCAAATGTTGCTGAAGAATAATAGCTTGTCTTAATATTCTTCTTAATTATGTTTGATCTCATTAGTATTTAAGTTGAAACATGGTTTCAAGAATCACAAAGTTGTTCTTGTTCTTCAAACTGTAATCCGTGTCAAGGGCAGTGGACTCTTTTCTTCTATTTTTGTTTTTTTGTTATGAAAACTTGTGGTGATATAGGTCTCCAAAATTTGATTTCTGCATTCCAAATTTTATAGTGTGAGGACTGTGAACTGTAGTTCTTGATTTGGTATAGATTTCTAGAGAAACATGATGGTGATGTTTTTGGAACTTTACTCTTAGAGGCTTCCTGTGTTCTTTGCTTTCTTGGGGAGCTTTTGGGAATGTCAAGAAGGCAGGTGATGACAGTCTCAAGTTTGGAATTCAGGTTTCCTTACAGTTGAACCCAAGCAGCATTATCTGAAATACAATCACTTTGGGTGCTAATGGAGGCCAAGGTTGAAGGGAACCCCTTGATAACTCAGTCCAAATGGAGAAAAGTGGCATATGGTGGGATGCAACCTGGTTATGATGACAATTACACTGATGAGTCTTTTCTTGAAGATATGGTGATGAATGCCAATGTGGTGAAGCGGGACATAGTAAAGGTGATGCGGGATTCAGTTTCCATCTCTCAGTATATCTGTGTTGTTGCACTTGTGGTCTGTGTCTGGACCTATACTCTAGGTGCCACCATTGATGAGACTTCCCTCTTGCTGCTTGATGCTGGCCTTCTAGGATCAGGCTTCTTAGTGCTCCTCCTAACTGCAAGGAGGCTTTCAATTAATCTTCTTTCCCACTATCTCCTGAAGATATCCTTCTTTATAAGTGGGTTGTATGTTTTGGCTCCTATCTACCACACGCTCACTAGATCTATTAGCTCAGACTCCATTTGGGCACTGACAGTATCACTTCTCATGGTCCATCTCTTCTTGCATGACTACTCGGGATCCACCATAAGGCCACCTGGAGCATTGAAAAATCCAACATTGACCAGCAATATCTCTTTAAATGCTTCTATTGTGGCTTCAGTTCTAATTGCTTCTCGCCTCCCATCAAGGCTTCATGTGTTTGCAATTATGCTCTTCTCTTTACAGGTCTTCCTCTTTGCACCACTGGTCATGTATTGTATCAAGAAATACTCTTTTGGACTGCATCTTTGCTTCTCATCGTTATTGATGACTGTGACACTGGTTTTGGTATTTACACTGCATCGACCTCTATTTGCGTTGTTACTAGGTCTATTGGTTTTTGTCACGGTTGTATGCCCTTTCTGGCTTATAAGGCTACAGGAGTACAAATTTGAGATTAATGGTCCTTGGGATGAAGCTAAGCTTTGTTTTGATATTACAGAGTGACTGCATCAACATTCACCTTTTGTATCAGAAAAACTTTATTAACCAAGTGAAATTCAATTACTTTCCTTTTTCTTGATCAGTAACAGAGTTTTTATTAATTCATGTTAATTAATGTTACATCACAATGCAGTGCAAGGGATTCATTCCAACCACTTTTAAGAGTACAACAACCTAAAATTACAATTGTGCTCAAAACAATTGTTCTCTATGAACCCCTCTGCTTGGCCAACGAACCAGCCAACCCAATGGAAAATTACTTTCCCTTATGTTCTAAATGACAACCGTCTAGTTCAGATAAGAATGCTTGTATGTATCTGAAGTCCTCTAGATTTTAGGATTGTTTGGAGTGCGAGGGTAATTGTGATTTCACTGCAGAGTTAGGAGGTGGCTACTAACTAAATTTATCCAGTTATTTTTATTTTTTATATTTCCCCTGCCTTCTGACTTCTAGTTCAGGTTGGGATTTCTGAACCCTTAAAATGAGCAGGCTTGGAGTGGATTGGCATTTCCAATTTGAAATCAAATTGACTGGTTGACTGAGATGCCATTGGACAACCTTGCTATTTCTTTTTGGATTTCCTAGAGTTTGGTTTCCTGTTATTCAGCCTGCATATAAACTTGGGGGGGAGGGGGGGTGGAAAGGTTGCAATTCAATGAGGGCCTTCTCAATGTGAGGACATTGTTTATTTGGTCAATTGGTGATAGTTGGGATTCATGCCACTATTAGGTGGGTGTATTAACCCAAATCTAATTTGAAACGATACTCAATCCTTGAAACCAAGGTTTAAAATGCTGCTGTCGGTGGAAATACCAGTCATTTAATATAGGAAACATGTTGCAAATGTTGGAAACAGCATATGGAAATCTTGTAAAAGTTATAGATATAGTGAAAAATTGTGAAATATGCAAAAATATAGAATGCTATTTTATGGAATGATGAAAGATGCATAGGTAGACATTTCTAAATTATTATCTTTTTCCAAACCATCAAAGCTATATCATAGAGTAAGCTCAAGGCTTCAAGCAAAAGTTAAACTCATAGAAAGTGCAAATGATTCCAAAGATCAATCAAATAATTTATTGTACAATAAAAATTAAGATTTAACTTCATGTTTGAAAAGAATTTTGAGCTGGCTCAAAGTGGTAATTATGTCCATTAGGTGGGAATAAGACTGCTACTCCACATATCTAAAATAGTCTCCATTTATGTTATAATACTACTTATCAAAAACTTATCTTATGATACATTAATATTATCTCTATTGATAAAAAAATAGATTAATATTATCTCTTGTACTCCATATGGCACCGGTAGCTTGCATTGGGGAATATGTTGATTTTAGTAATATTTTGTGTTGGAACCCATGGAAATGGAAGTATGTCATGGAAATATTAATAAATAGATGGCCAACAAAATCTGACATCATTGATTGACTCAAATCTTTAACCTAATTGCTATTACTGTTGAATATTGAAGGCATTAGTTTAAAGTTACAGTCAGTTTGATGCTTATATAGAGATTGCTGTAACCATTTCTTAATTTGAACCAGTCAATGGGAGTGCCCACCCCTTTGTGAGTCCATTGGTGATTGTTGGGATTCATGCCAAGACAAAGTGGGTGTACAGTGTACTGACCCAAATCTAATTTGTGAAGGCACTCAATCCTTGAAACACTTTCAAATAGATGACCAACAGAATCTGACATCATTACTCAAATCCTTATCCTAATCCGTTGCTATTGCTATAGCCATTGAGTATTAAAGGGTAAAGGCATCGGTTTCTGAAACTTATAGTCTGCTTGATGCTTATATAGAGGTTACTGTAACAATCACTTAATGTGGACCAGTTAATAAGAGTGTCCACCCCTTTGTGTGTCAATGCAATTTCATAATGTATTGAAGATATTTCCAGAGAGTCCATCCCTTTATGCATGAAATATATTCTTGCATAAGTGAAGTTTGTGCAGTGTTGTCTTTTTCTTTAACAGAGGAGTTGCCTATGGTTGGAACAAAATGGAGGAGCAGTAATGGATCCTTTCTACCAACTCTATGTAAGCGGGATAAGGCAGATGAAATGAATACACCATCAAGAGGAATAAGATTCATTCTGCTGATTCCACCTAGGCAGAGTGAGGCAGGTTACAAGAATTTTTTCCATGTGTCATCTGTCTATCTACAATAGTCTACATAATTAAACTGCTGTCCGGCACGGCAGTGTCATAACCAAAAAATGAAAGAAATGCTCCACTTAAGGTTTGAAACAATATCTGATCATTTGTCCTTTTATGGGGGTTTGTCTTTAGAGAGAACAGATTCTATTTTCTTTCTCTCTCACATTAACACGTACGTGCACACACACACACACACACACACTCAGACTGCTTTCTCTCTTTGGTTTCATCTGCTAATGAATCAAGAAGCACATACTCTTTAATCCTCAGAGCCAGGGCTACTAGTCGTGCTGCACTTCTCCAAAAGTTTGTGACACACAATAGGTAGTTTGTTTGTCTCTGATATTTTTGTTTCATATTTGACCATTTTTTGAGTTTTACACACTTCAATCTTACTGTTTACTACAAGTGTTTTGATTTATCTGTTTAATTTGTAAGCTAGTTTGTTACAATTGTTGTTCATGCATTTTATGGTTTCTTCTGATTTCTGTTTAAGTGAACTCTGCTGGTAATGGTGTTTAGGATACAGACTTGTGAAAGATGGGCAAAGCTTCGAGGGACAAGAGGGTAACTGTTACCATTCTATCCCTTTGATCATTTCTGGGTATCTTTTGAATAAAACTCCCATTTTTCTTGTCTTTTTCCTTTTTATGATAAGTTCTGGGTTGTGTTCGTTTTTTTTTTCAGGATATCTATTATCGGAAAGCAAAAGAAGAAGGTTGGCGTGCTCGGAGTGCCTTCAAGCTCCTTCAGATTGATGAAGAGTTCAATATCTTTGAAGGTCTGACTTTTTTTATTTCCTTCTGTGTCATTTTTTTAATGTTTATTTTGTTAAAGGTGAAGTTGACCACTTTTTATTGCACTAAAATGGTGAATATAATAAAATGAAAATTAATATACAAACTTACAATCTGAACTGCATAAATGGACTTCAATAAGGAGATACATGCTTCATAAACACAACTATTTGTATGGTTTTCTGTAGAGATGCTGAACTAAGACTTTTCAGTGTGTGTCTCTGCCAATTTGATTCTTATTGTTGTCATCTGCTTCCATGTCCAGTTGTTAAGGTTTTTCCTCCTGATACATATTCCATAGTAGATATACCATTTTCTCTTCATCCCTTTTTGCTTGATACATTTGAAGCGGAATCTTGTATAAATCTGGGTGTGCAGGAGTTAATCGTGCGGTTGATCTTTGTGCTGCGCCTGGTAGCTGGAGTCAGGTATCTATAAGCAGTTGAACAATTACATTGCCTATTGGAATGCATCATAGAAAACTGTTATTACTCCAGAGATTAACTATGGCCTCTCTTATTTTATGAAATTAATTCCCTGCATTGTCAACACTTTGGGATGCTATTTTGTTCTATTTCCAAAACACTGACATTGTAGGGCTGAGTATCAGGCCTCAGGCTTACCTGGCTTGAGTTTTGGCCTGGTGAGCAACAAGCCAAGGGTTGGCCTGGGCCAAATCTTGGCCCAAAATTTAGTTTGGGCTGTAATCTTATATTGCCATATAAAGTAGATACCCCACTTTTGTGTGAGTGCATGCAGATAATCTATACATAAAGTGGACCTTATATCCTTTTTCTTTCCACTATCATTACCATGTGCAGTGCACATGTTTTCCTGCTTATATATATATATATATGGAATATAAGTATGTTATATTCTTACTATGTAAAAGGGACCATTGTTTGGTATAATGGTTAAATCTTGGGCTGGCAAGCGTGAGAAAGTGGATTTGAGTCTGAGAGTGACTATGTGCAAAAGAAATGCCAAGGTTAGGTCCGTATCCACTCCACCCCTTCCTAGATCCCATATAACTGGGACTAAATTGGGTTATTACCTTTTTGTATTTTTACCATGTAAAGGATGTAGATACACATATGTAGCAAGTTTGGGCTGGTCTGAAGTCTCCATCCTACATAGTTATGCTGGGTTCAGGCCAGCACCTTTAGGCAGATGGCCTGCTGCTCACACCTAGACCAAGCCTGAACACATGCACAGCCGTTATGAATAGGAGTCATTCAACCAGAGTATGTTCTCATACATAGTTTGCCTTCTCATGGTTTCCCTTGCTATGTTTTTGATTAGTGAATATTCAGATTTATTAAATCAAAGTCAAAGAAAGTACAACTTAGGGAGAGGCACGAGATGCTACCTCCCCTTTAAAGAGGGGAGATGGAAGAAACCATCAACCCTTTAGTTAAAGAACATAACAAAGGAAAAAGAAAATTACAATGAAGCCCAATACAATGAAACCCGAGTAGCCCCTTATTTATCAAGATAATCAGCCAAGGCATTAGCCGATCTACCCAGCCACTGAACTCTAACTGTCATACTCCTCAATAGCCATTTAACCTTTTTTTAAAATGTCCTTAAAGTTCCAAGTGACAGTACCGGGGTCAGCCAACCATCCTACTACCACCTTGGAGTCTCCTTCAATTATTAAGTTTTGCACTCCGAGTTGATAGGCAATCTGTACCCCTTGTGCCGCAGCTAGGAGTTCAGCCCTCACAGAGTCTCCTATTCCCAACGGTCCTGAAAAAAGGCAATAATGTTGCTGTTCTCATCTCTCAGTACACCACCAATCCCGGATGGTCCTGGGTTACCCTGACTATTTCCGTCAAAGTTCAGCTTAATAAAACCCTCCATCGGCGGAGTCCAAGTTACTTGACTCTAGGCTTCGTAGAGGAAGTGAGGGCAATTGCAGACCAAGTCCTCATTAAATCCTCAAAGGAATAATCTTCAAAGAGCTTTAAGGATTTCAGCCACAAAGTAGTCCTTGTAACAATACACTCTTTGACCTCAAGAATGCTTCTTTCCTTTTCCTGAAAAATTCTGGAATTTCTCTCTTCTTAAATAGTCCAAAGGAGAGTTGCTCTTATACACTTCAACATGACTCTCCCTCTTCTTGTGGTCCACACAAAGGTAGAAGGGGAAAACAACAAATTTACCTCAGCTGACAAGTTCCACCTACACTCAAACACCCAATTCCAAATGGTTGTAGCAAAAGGACAAGAAATCAATAAGTGGTAACAGTCCTCATTCTACGCTTTGCAAAAAATACACCAGTTAGGAGATAAACATAAAAAAGGTCTTTTCTTCTGCAGGTTATCCATTGTATTGATTTTACCCAAGTAAACTTCCCAACAAAAAACAATTTTTGGGGGAATAGGCCTAGACCAAACTTCCTTAACTAGGAAAGCCCGAGGAGAAGAACTAGAGTAGAGGGAATTAAAGAAAGAAGCACAAGTAAACAGCCCTTTCGGAGTCAAAGTCCAAATCCTCCTATCAGGATTTAGTGGGTCCAGACAAGCAGAATCAAGTAACAATAGGAGCTCAGAAACTGATAAGGATTCCTCATCCCTCAACCCTCTACGGAATCCAAGGTCCCAATTTGTTGACAAAGGGGTATACAGGGGCAAAATAAAGGAAGACACAGGTTATTTTTTATAAAGGGAAATAGAGAAGAGAGAAGGGAACTGATCCTTAAGGGGCAAATTTCCCACCCAAGTGTCTTCCAAGAAAAGAATACGAGTCCCAGAGCAAGCATCATACCTTACAAAGTGTAGGAACTGTGGGAGGATGCCATGAATTGCCTTCCAAGGTGTTGCAAGAGTTGCCTGTCTGGATACCCCTGCATCCCAACCATTTTCGGAATAGCCATGGATACTTGCCACCACTTCATGCCATAACCTCTCCCTCTCTAAAGGCCACCTTCACAACCACTTACCTAGAAGGGCTACATTCTTGAAAGTGATATTTCCTTATTCCTAATCCTCCTTCCTCCTTACTTCGACTAACTATCTCCCATCTAACCAGATGATCCTTCTTCTCTTGCCCCGTCTCCCACAAGAAGTCCCTCATCATTTTCTCTAACCTCTTAGCTTCC